ATTTCTCTACACACTAAAAACAATTCTCAAGTTCTCATATACTTGTATGTATGTTTATGTAGAAAAATTTTAATATTTTGATAACTAAATAAATGTGTTAAGAAAATATATAGATATATCTTTCACATATTTTACTTTTACTTATTTTTTTACCACTTTAGATAATCTTTTTTTTTCGTTTTTTTTTATTTCACCTAAAAATGTGACTATTTCGTCTTCTTGCAAAACAGCAATGTAAATAAATAAATCATTTTTAGAAATTTTAACAAAAARTAAAGTAACTAAATATTATTATTATTTTCACCTATTGCTTAATTTTAATATCAAACGTAACATGTTTTTAATTAATTTGATCTTCCGTCAAAAAATAGAGAAACAGAAACTAAAAATTCAAATCAGCAATTTTTGTTTACAATTCATTATTCCCAACATAATTTCAGGATCACAAGCCACTTTAAATAAACATTTAAATAAAGGTACTTACCGAAACGCAAACAATAACTTGTTTTTAAAATATTGGAAAAATTTTTGTAATTTTTTTGAAAAAAAAATATTTTCTAAGTAAAATTTTTCTCTCAGCTTATTTAGTTTCTTGTCACAAACACACAATCGATTTTTTTTTTAAACAGATATACAAGCAACACCCTTTACCCAAATGCTATTTTTTAAACATTTATCTTTTGTCAGAATCATAAGTAGTCATCAATTTTTAATATTTAATTAACATAGTTTAATTACAAAGTGATTCGGAAAAGATGACTCAACAAAATCAGTTGATTTGTAAACTATAGTGATAACAAATGTTTTCAATAAAAAAATCTGTTCAATTTTGTTTTACCGTTTGACACAGTACAGAATGATTCATGAAAGAAGAGTGCTCTCAAACTATAATATTAACTGAATCATCTTGTATATTACAACTAATATTTATGCAATATTTTTCTTATAATAAATAATTGTGGTCATAATTTAAAAAATTAAATATAAAATATTTTTTTAATTTTTAAAGTATTTATTCTTCTATTTAATTTATCAAATTTTGCCGTCGATTAAATTTAATTAAGAGTACAGAGTGATTCAGCAAAGATGTCGAAACTTTAGACACAATTTTTTTAGTAATTTCAAACTGTTTATTAATTCTACCAATTTTTGAAAATTTAAGAAAGAAAAAATAGTTATTTATTATACAAGACGATAAAAAAATTGCTAATCTACGAGTAAAAAAGTTTTTCACGAGTAGATAAACAATCTTTATCGTCGTGTATAATATTTCATTTTATTTTGTACTCACCTACCAGAATTTCTTGAATATAAACAGTAGATAAAAATTACTTTATTTCACAAGACGATAAAAGACTACTTTATCTACTGAAATTAGTTGATAAAATATAAACAGTAAATAGTAAATAAAAATTACTTTCATTCACTAGATGATAAAAGACTATTTTATCTACTGAAATTAGTTGATAAAAGCACTCTTTAACATTGAGTACAAAATAAAAAATTATAATGATCTTGTGAAATAGTTATTTGTATTACAAAGCCACCCAGGGACGAAAAACACACATTCCTTCTAAAGTGTAACACACATAATTTTTTCTCTTGATATCCAGTTTTGCCTGTGATTTTGATAAGAAAGATAATTGGCTAATTTTTTTCTAAAATTAGTGTGGAAAAACATACTTTCTGTTAGGGTCGTTGAAAACATATTAAGTATTTTTTTGATTTTAATTGCCTTCTAACAATGAGGAAAGGTAAAATTTTCACACTAGTGATGAAAACATCTCTTACCTGGTACAAACTCGCCGTGCAATCCGCAATCCTCTGCCTCCTCGTCTTCCTCCTCCTGTAATTCCCCTTTTCGAACATATTCGCGGCTTTCGGGTCCAACATCCAGTAACTGCCCTTCCCCCCAGCTTGCTCGGGCCCCCCCGGCGACACTTTATCCCTCGGCACTTTAACAAAACAGTCATTCAAACTCAAATTATGCCTGATGGAGTTCTGCCATCCTTGCTTATTCTCTCTGTAGTAGGGAAAATGATCCATGATAAACCTGTAGATTCCACTCAAAGTGAGCCTCTCCTTGGGGGCTGAACTGATAGCCATGGCGATGAGGGCGATGTAGGAATAAGGGGGCTTCTCGGGACGCGGTTGTTGCAACTTGACCGGCAACGGGAACCACAGATGGGGAAAATAGGGGTTGAAAAGGCGCTGGGCCACTAGGGGGTTGTACTGGTCGCAGTAGCAAGAGTCGAACTGTTGCAAGGAGTACATCGCGTTTATTGGACTAAATTTCGGCTAATACATCTTGGCTTAAGTCGGGTGTCCCCACCACACGGAGACGCCCCCAAGTCTACTACACTACATCCTGACTAAACATTGGACTGATATAATAACTGTGACAATTTGTAAACATCGGCGGCAATAAATAGGCTTAGTTTGTCGTTAAACACTGAGTAAATAAGTAATGTGTCATCATTAAGAGCTTATTCGTTTGTTGTTTTATACTTTGCTAAATGGGGGCGCGCAGCGTTATTATATTTTGATTGGAGGGTGGGTCGTGAGTAAACAGCGTTTTCCGAAATCTGYAACTAAACAGTTTTCCACAAACAAATCGTTTGTTACTGCAAATTAGACTTCATGTTAAATTAAAAATAATAATTTTCATACAATAAACTCTAGGCTTTTCATTATTTTTCCTACGACCATATACGAAACTAGATCATAACGCACAATTACATATGCGCGAAAATTTTCAATATCGTACGATATTCGTGCGATTTGTTTTCACACTGTGTGTTAGAAATCTAACGCACAATTCACAGTCGAATGTTTTGTATTTTTTCATTCAACGTATTTTTTTTTTGTAACCATATAAAAAATAAATCGTTATTCAACGTATTTTTGTATCCATTATAAAAAATAAATCGTTATGAAAAAAAAAAATGTTCGTAAGAAAAAAATTATTTATGGTCGTAGGAAAAATAGTGTACAAAATTTGCAGGAAAGTGTCGGGTAACGCCTCGTGCGCAACTTTCCCGCTTGTGCGTTATTTATCACTTTCCGTGCTCGTTATGTAATATACTATTTCATAATTTTTTGCTTGTAAAGATAAACAAAAATAAAAAACCGGATCTTCTATCAAATTGTCAAATTCTAAGGGTGTTATACTCTGACTTTTAGAGATTTATTTCTAATAATTGTAACAAAATTGACAAAAAANGATAAAAGAGTACTTTATCCACTGAAATTAGTTGATAAAAACACTCTTTAACATTGAGTACAAAATAAAAAAATAAAAATAAATAAAAATAAAAAACCGGATCTTCTATCAAATTGTCAAATTCTAAGGGTGTTATACTCTGACTTTTAGAGATTTATTTCTAATAATTGTAACAAAATTGACAAAAAATGATATTGTCCGAAAACGTCACAAAAGTAACCACTTTAATTACTAATAAATCTTATAAGTAAAAGTTTTACTTTTCAGCCACAGAGTAAAAGTTCTATTTTTGCGCCTAAACGTTTTTAGTTTTACAAAGACATTATTGATATTTAGCAATGTTATTTCTTGTCTCTTTCGTTCCTTCAGCAATTTCTGGAATAGTTCATTGTAGATCATTAGCGTTCGACATTTTGTACTACTAACTGCACTAGTTAAATTAATTATTAACACTTTCAATAATTTCAACGCGCAATGTTTGTTTATAAGTGTTGTTATGATTTTATTACTTGCACAGCGTTCTGATTATTTTGTTCATTTACTTGCTAATCATAGTGTTGCTCTTTAATCTCGCTCTGAATATGTTTATGGATAAAATAGTATCTGCTCTTTGGAGTAAAAGTGAGTTTATGTGGCTCAGCTGAATTTTTTGCCTCACTACGTTCAGCTTTGTTACATAAACTAGGTACCACTTTTACTCGTAGTAACATAATTTATGTTTAAACTTTCGAAATATATGTTTTTGTAGATTATTTTACCTTTAAATTTGTGATTATTAGACCATTTTGAAATGAATTTTAACAACAATTTTAAATACAAAAAGACATAAGTCGATGTTTTTTCGGTCTATTTGATCGTAATCTCACCTAATAAGTGAGTTTTACCGAAAAAAAGGAAGTTCTTAACACAAAAATGTGTTTAGACGCTCGAAATAGGTATGTATATGTTCTTCGAAGTCAATTTTAAGGAAATCTACTAAAAGAGATAAATTTTTACCAAAAAACATAACTTATTAACTCATTTTCCACTTAAATATGCAATTTTTCCCTCTCTTTAAGTAAAATTTTGTAGAAAAATTATTCTTTAAAATATTTTGCCAAATAGCCAAGTAAACCAAAAAAATAAATAAAGGAAAAAAACAATGCAAGTATGTATATGATTTCACTATTTAGAATAATTAGTTTTACTTTACTTTTCATATTTTTTTTGCATCAAAAAGTAAATCTTTTAATTTTTATAGAAAAATCACAACATATACCAGGTGATCAAGTAGCTGAACAAGACATAAATGTAGTTATTTGTATAACGAGACACGAAAGTTGAGTATTAATCACCAACCTAACTTCAAAACAATTATTTAATGCTGAGGTGTACACAAAATTTTTTCTCAAATCATAATTCTTTAAATTTCATTTAATGACTTATGAGTTTGAAAATGTACTACTTTACGGACTATTTTGGGTGAATTTACAGACCATTTCATTCATTTTACGGATGATTTAAATAKAAAAATGCTTTATTTCTGTTGACAATTCAATCAACACCCGATATGTTTATTAGCACTCTATTTTTATATTACATGAATAAAATGAACATTAAGAAAGAGCTATTTTGTTTATTTAAAGAACTGGACAATGAGGCTGTCTGTTTTAACAAATCAAATCTGTTAATAAACGCAAATCTAAAAGTTCCATAAATATTTGCTAAAAATTTCTGAAAT